AAATATTATTATGATTATTAATTTTAAATACTAATAATTAACTTAGAGTTATTAATAATTGATTGTTTAAATATTAATATTTTATTTATAATTTAACCATTAATATTTGAGGATTCTAAATTTCGTCAAAACGTTGGGAGAATTAAGAAAAGATTTCAGTATGAAGGTTTTCAGTTGCTCTTTAATAAAATTGGATAATCACTCTATTTATTTCATGTTTGCATCATGTTAATTAAGAATACTAATTAGGCTCATAGATGAAACTTTTGACGATAAGATTGTTCAAGAAAATTGTAGAGACATAGTTCTTGAAAATTCTCTAGGTAAGGAAATATTTTAAATTTCACCAAAGGGTTAGGAGAATTTTGAAAAGTTTTTATATGCTGATTTTCATTTACTTAATGAAATTAATAAAATTAATTTTAAGATAATAATAATAAGTTAAAATCAACCGTTTCATAATATATTTAGTGAATCTTTTTTTAAAAAAAGTAATATGCCTAATGAACCTAATGGCAAAGCTTTTTCAAGAAAATAAGTGTGTTTTCTTGAATACTGTTGAAGTGAGAAAATTTTTTTAAAGTTTCAGTAAGGTGTTAGGAAGACAGAAATTTTTTTTTAATATTTATTAATGGGTAAGAAAAATGAAAGAAACAGACAACAAAATAAATAAAGAAATAAATAGTAATTAAGTCCAAAAAAGAATTAGTTTCGTGATAAATGTGGACAAACGTATACCCTGAATATTGGAGAGCAAATTAAAAGCCTTTTGTGTAATTCACTGTTAAGCCGAGCCGAGTTAATGAGCTATTGAGCTTGATTTGTTAAATGGGATCAGAACCCAATTTACTAATTGAGCTGAAAGCTTAGCTTTTTTATTGGGTTTAATGGGCCTTGGGCTGGCAAGCCCGATAATCCTGACAGGTTTTTTAGTTCAAGTATTTCCTTCAACTGCTGGTACCAGGTGATAGTCTATTAGCTTGTGATGTTGTTCCACCTTTGATTGGTATTGCATTTACAACAAAACTCTGTAATGCATTGTCTTCTAAACAGGCAAAAAGAAAAGATTATTATTTTAATTTTAAATTTTTATGTTGTTGCATTGGAATCACTAATTTTTAAAAATAATTTTATTTTTATTTTTTCATCAAATTATTTTATTAAAATTAACGTAATGATCACATTATAAATTACATTGCATATTAAATGTCCTTAATATATTTTGTGCGAATATTTTTCTCTGACTTTTTAGAAAATAATGTAATGAAAAATATTCGAAATGAAACCACTTTAAAACGTTAAGAAGTCAAATGAAACAATTTAGAGATGAGGAATTAAAGTAAAATCTGATGAATAAAATGTTAGGAAGCATGACCACAGCTTAATCATTCTAGAATACGACTGTTCTTAGTGGGATTGATCCATGACCCACACTAACTTTGGAAATTTTCCCATAGAAATAATTGCAGGCCAGTTTTTCATTGCTTTTTCTTTCTAAGTTTCCACTTATGGGTTCAAACTTGTTGACCTTGAGCATTTTTTTCCGTTTACTTCGAGGTCTCCTTTCCATGTATCATTTCTCCTTATGATCAATTCCAAGAAATTGATATAGTAATAGTTTCAAGTTCTAGTCCTGTGTCCACATGCATTTCAAGAATAAAATTCCACCTCCACTGTTTAATGTTCCATAAATAAAAATAATTTTTCTAGTGCTCAACGTTCTCTGATTGAGGATGAGAATATGTCCAAATGAATTTGCTGGAGAGTCGATTTCCTTCAAGACTTTCTTTTTCAATTTCCACCAAGAAATTACAAGGCAACTTACCCTTGTTTTCACGTTTGGAATTCAACAGAGTGTGGGTTCCATTGTAGCGACCCTGCTGGGCAAATCCTTCATAGAATCCAACTTTTCCTCCTAACGTTTACTTTTTAAGTCTCCCTTCTACCATTATTAACTTGTCTGATGGTTGCAACAATTCGAGTAGGACATTGCTCTGGACTCAATTTGGATGAGTCAATCTTTTTCTTAATCTTCTTCACTGCATATTAAGACTCTGATTTCCTCCTTTTAATATTCTGGTTCTCAATTTT